CACAAATAGCTACATAACACACTAAAGAAAAGGAAAAATAGAAATCGCATCATATGACCCCTTTAAAAATAATTGTTTGTTGCAGCCCTAATATATATATATATATCTGAGAAATCAAATACACTGCTGGACAATAACCAATTATTTGTATTCTTATATAATATTTTTTCTTAATGACAATTTTATGATTTGTTTATTTACTACAAACACTTTTTCCATTTTTATCACAGAATAAAGCAGAAGATATAGGCTATTTAATAAATGCTATATCAATTAGCACTGTATTATTCAGATGCTTTTTATTACCTGGAAATGACTTGAAAAACAATGTTTTCAAAAACAATTGTTGTCTTCACGTTTCATCAGTCAAAATGTTTCTTTTGTAAAACATTTTTTTTTTAAAAGTAAAAGTGCAGAAAAACTGTGTATTTCATGCACAACTTGAACAAACTGCAACAGGTAAAGCTGTCAGCTGTGTGGACTTTAACAATTTATCATTAACAATTTGTTTATAATCGATACTATGGCTTCTTGTTATTAGTTAGTTGTGTTCTGTTAATGTGTGAACTTCATATTATTTGTAGCACACTTGCCGTCCAATAACCGCAATAAGCTTTGTGTTTTGGTACATTTGAATAAAGTGTCAGCTTTAAATTCTGCCAAATTCATAATGAAATTAAACAATAAATACCGTTTGGCGCTCTTTAATGTGGCATGAACAATCGCTTTAGCGCCTCAGTTCAAGCGGCAAGTGAACCCATATTATCTTTCTCTTTACTACTATGCCATGGCCGGCTCGCAAGCCGCGACAAAGAAAGAGTTGGATAACACGTTGGATCATGATCAAAAAAAGGGAATAACATTTATTAAAGGGGTCATATGATGCTGCTAAAAAGAACATTATTTTGTGTATTTGGTGTAATGAAATGTGTTTATGCGGTTTAAAAATCGCATGTTTATTTTAGATGTAAATAGTGTTCTGTGCTCGTCTGTGCAGCCAAAGACAGAACAGTTAGCGTGTTTTGCTCAAACTTTCGCCATGGCATTAGAACTAGTACACCGTTGTCGCTTGCAAAAACACAATAATGGTGCCGTGGATGTAAATTTACAGATTAAGGGGCAGTAATATTATAATGAGATCCCTTGGCCACGTCACCAAGGGAGCAAAATCTGACAGGCTCGTTTTTTTCAGAAGCTTGCAGAAAAAGGCTTACCAAAACAAAATTACTGGGTTAATCTTTTTCACGATTCCTTGGTTGGTAGATGCACCGGGGACCTGATTATAGCACTTAAAACCTGGAAAAGTCAGATTTTCATGATATGCCACCTTTAAATTTGCAATCGGCATCAGCTAGGTGTAAGTCCTCAGCCATATTGACGTCACTCACCCTAACTCCATCCTGCAAAACAAACAGAGGAAGAAACAAGCAACCAACAAATATAACCCATACTGGGTTCATAACTATAGTACGAAATAAACATGAATGGACATCAAAAGCTATTTTATAAGATATAGTACATCTTACTGAAATGTTTCATGCAACCACTCATTCGGTGTTTCAAACTGCGGAAAACGTGTAAAGCTTGTAAACAATGCCACGTAACAATGCATTTACCTCAGAATAACCATTCGGCGTCCATAAGCTCATCAGTCAGTCAGAAAAAAATAACTATAAAGAGGAGCATTTTGCTAAATTTAGGCACTATATTGCATATTCATATTTTTACTTAACCTGTTGACATGATAAAAAAAGAACGCAAGGAGCTAAAGGTAAAATTCAACACCTCCTATATAATTGCATGTTACTAATGAAGAAAAACAGACTGAAAGTGTGCAGGACATATGACAACATTGATAGGATGCATTGAGAAGGAGCCCAAAATACAGTCAATAGCCAATTGATGGTGAAATAATTATGGTCCGTGATATTGGCACAGACTCTGTGTAATAAACAATTCTTTGTGACTATATAGTTCTCAAGTAGGAAAATACATTTAGTTCCCTATATAAGTGATCCTTAGCTCCCAGGACATCTACAAGATGGATTAAAATGCTGATAAAGACAAGAAAAGACGAAACATAAACACATGACAGACTGAAATGTTAAGTGTTAAAAAAAATTAAATAAAACACTCTTATTCTGTGGCACCTAAAAAATTATTTGGCGCCTATTTTTTTTTCTTATAGGAGCCAATGGCTCCTTGATTTTTTTTATTTTTTGTCTAGAGCCCTCTGAGTCCATTTTGGACTTTCTGCACGAAAGGGCCCTCCAGCATTGCGTATGAATGAAACATGCATGAGAGTGTTTAGCGCTCCATAATGTTTACATCACCTCATTTTGGATACAAATAAAATGTCAGGTCATGCATAGTCTATTTTGTCTCTTTGAATTTAAATATAGATTTATTCACACTGGCCCTTGAAAACCCTGCATATTCTACACCCATGATCATATTTGAGTGTTCTTGGCATCAAAAAGTTTGACAACTCTGCTCTAGGTTCTGTGTATGGAGTGAGAGATTTGATTTTATGGGCAATAGTGAACACTTTCAGATACGACAGCTGATTGGCACGAGAACAAGACACATTTTCATAAGATATCCTCCACATCTAAAGTGTGGGTGCAGCATCTGAGCCACACAGCAGCTGGGTGTGAGTGCCACTACAGAGAAGTATTTTGTTCCCTCTGCTAAACACAGTAATCCTATTTTGAAGAGGTCTATTTGAAGGAGAGACACTCTTAGTGCCTGAGAGTGCTGGGCTACAGTGGTTTTGTTACTGATCTGGGACAGATGAGGAGTTACAACACTGTGTTGAGTGCTGTTTGTGTGTCTGCACAGGGACGACAGCAAGAGTCCCATCTGTGCTGTAATACAAGAGGTGCACAAGTCCGTGTTTGTAGAGAGACAGAGCCGGTGGAAGCCAAACATCTTCTTTCTGCTGTAATACAAGCAGAGCACGAGTGTCTGTACATTGACAGTTCACTCTTGTTCACACTCGTAAGGAGTATGTTCGTTTTGCATAAGGGCAAGTGGGACATGAGGGGTAGGTGGTAATCTATGAATGAGAATTGGCTTCTTGCCGAGGGGCCGTTCCCACGGAGTCTGTTCTTGCGTTCATAACTAGCTAGACGATGTGCAGTGGATTTGGAACATAATGTCAATGTCTTGACAATTTGATCTGTTCTTAAAGGAATAGTTTGGCAAAAATTTAAATACTGTATGACTCTTTTTCATCTGAACACAAAAGAATTTTAATGAATATCCGGTTTTGTCAATTCAAGATAATGGCAGTGGGTCATTATTCACTTTCGTGCTTAATAATGCACACTAGAGCATCAGCAAAAAAAGTGCATGCGGCTCAGTGATTTTTTTCAAAGTGCTTCTATTGAAGAACAATATTTGAGCAATTTTAAAAGGTAAATTTCAATTATATAATTTTTGTACATATTTATAAAGATTTAAAACAAAAACAAATCTGCATATGATTGTAAAAAAGTAAACCGTAAAAAACAATATTTAAGCAGTTTTATCAGGTAAATCAGAAATATAGAGTTTTTAGCATCTTTATATAATTAATGTCAGATTTTTGGGGGGGGGGGGGGG